ATAGGCAAAACTTTTTTTTTCCATTTTGGATAGAGTAAAGGAGGGTTATATCCCCTGTCAGATTTTTGTCATCTATATCCCATTGGGAAGTTTTACCATCATTTCCTGTCACACAGCCAAACAGTAAATGAGAGGAAATCTCTGCAAGTTAAGAGAATCCCGTGGGTCCCCCCAGGTCACCAGAATTAGTTTCCCCATTGGAAGATTTACCCTCTATTACTTTTCTGGGGACAACCCAAAATCTAGGATTTTCTTTTACTTACTTTTTTACATGAAAATATAGAAAGTGAATCTCCCTAATGGGAACACAGGCAATCAATTAAAACCTAATAGGTGTTCTAATCCATCTCCACTTTGTCCAAAACAAAAAAAAAAGTTTTGCCTTTAGTTATGCTTTAAGTGTAAATACAATAAGCATACAGAAGGGACTCTGATGCCATTCTAGCTCCACACTACAACATTGTAGGCACCTTCACGTAAGTCCACAGTCTGCCTATTATGGGCCTCAGAACCTAAAGGCACCAGCATATCTGATATATCTGACCTGTGGTCAGACCCCCTTTTTAAGCTGAGACCTGTCTGTATCAGGTGAAACTGGTACAGAAAGTGGGGATTTTTCTCCGCAAATAAAGCAGTATCTTTTTTCTTCAGAAAAATGGCTCAATTCTGCTGGCTTTTTGAAAGGTGATTATCAGGACAGTAAGGCAGTCCTCAAGGGAGATAGAGTTAGTAGCAAAGACCTGACAAAATTTCTAATCTTTACCCATTATATTTAGAAATAAAACTATTATATGAGCTTACTGTAAGAGAGCAAATCAGATCAGGATTTTCTGACCCAATCTAACATTTGTTCCTTTCATTTGGCTATTTCACAGTTTCATGAAATAAACTCTATGCTGTGGCCCAAACTGGTCTTTTAAACTCCATGCTCAGTTTGTACCTTTTATAAATGTGCACCCAATGACTGATATATTTAACTAGAGATGAGCGAATTATTCAAAAATTCGATTTGGCTGATTCGCCGAATTTGCGGAAGAAATTCGATTCGATGCGAATTTATTCGCTGCAAATTTAACTTATTAAAAGGGTTTCTAGGCTTCAGAGAGCCTTTATATTAGTGCAGAACACTATACCTTTAATTTAAATGCCCTTGGAGTCTGCTGGGGAAGAGAAATAATACTGTCAGTCAGTATGACATGCAGATGAGTGCCGTCGATCTTAGAATCACCGCACACTTCACTCATTTGGGCAGTCACGGGGCAAGAAGAAGAAGAAGAAGAAGAAGAAGAAGAAGAAAGAAGAATGAAAAGAAAGAAGAATGAAAAGAAGAATGAAAAGAAGAAGAAGAAGAATGAAAAGAAGAAGAAGAAGAATGAAAAGAAGAATGAAAAGAAGAATGAGAAGAATGAGAAGAAGAATGAAAAGAAGAAGAAGAAGAATGAAAAGAAGAAGAAGAAGAATGAAAAGAAGAATGAAAAGAAGAAGAAGAAGAATGAAAAGAAGAAGAATGAAAAGAAGAATGAGAAGAAGAATGAAAAGAAGAAGAAGAAGAAGAAGAAGAATGAAAAGAAGAAGAAGAATGAAAAGAAGAAGAATTCCAGTACAGCAAAAAGTGTATCTGCAGAGAGCTCCGCTATTTCTGACAGTTCTCTGACAGTTCCTTCACATTTACAGCGGTTGAAACATTGTATCTATTTGTTTCCAAATAAAAACATCTGTATCCTAAATGGAAACAAATAGATACAATGTTTCAACCGCTGTAAATGTGAAGGAACTGTCAGAGAACTGTCAGAAATAGCGGAGCTCTCTGCAGGGACACTTTTTGCCGGCTGTAGAAGGGATGAAAATCGGCCGATCGGGAAAAATTCGATTCGTGCATCCGAAGTTTGCTAATATTCGGATTCGGTGCAAATCGAATTTTTCCTAATATTCGAAACGAATTCCACTTCGCCAAGTTCGATTCGCTCATCTCTATATTTAACCTTTAGATAATGATATATTATCATGAAATCTCAAGGAATTCCAAGGAAATAAATGATATGTTATTAAAAAATAGAATGATTCTGTAGGCTAACAAAAAAAAAACCTGCGATTGCAGAAAATGTTTTCGAAACAGAATATGGACACTCTTTGCACTGCCTAAATAAGTCTGCAGTTCTTTTTCCTTTTTTGTATATGTATGAGTAGGAAACCCTATTCAAAGCTTAGATCAAATGGGTGGAACATGTTCTAGGGTCATGCAGGGTGTTCTAGATTCATGTACATGTTGGGGTTTGTGGAGTAAACAATAATAACATCAGTACTTGCACAAATCAGACTGTTTCTAATATCTAATAAAAAAGAACGAGACTAAATAGAATCTTTATGCCTGCTTTTACATATATGTGAAAATATTAATAAAATCTGAATGTGAAACATAATTTCATGAAACATTACCTCAGCTAGGTATGAAATGACAAAAAGCACGGCCACCATAATAACAGTGTTCCACCTCCAGTAATATGGTGTACAGACAAGCTATAAAGAAATAGAGCAATAATAAAGAGAAACATTACTAAGATTACTAAGAGTTAAAGTGGTTGTAAAACCAGAAAGGTAAAAAATCTTCTGCATGCAGCTCCACATCCCCCATTATACTTACCTTGGACTGATCTCCATCCAGAAATGTGCATGATTGCAGCAGCTCTCTTCGCTCTCTTACTCCTCATTGACTTAGAGACAGCAGCAGGAGCCATTGGCATTGGTGAGAGGGCAGCAGGGGGGGGGGGGGAGGGCTGGGCAGAGTCGCACTCTGTGTGTCTTATGGACACACAGAGCAGGGCTCTGGAGTGGGCACTCATGAGTGCGCCAACAGTAAGTGGATTTTGGTTTATTTTATTCATACTTATGTAAATTAGGGTTTATACAAAAGAAATAATAATAGTACACGGGGGTACAGTGCATTTATATAAACATATTCAGTTTGTGTGTTCTCTTGCATTCCACTTTGTATGTGCACAGTTCATTTAACACAACATTAGAAAGGGAAAGATGCATGATTAAGCAAGTTCAATCATGGAACAAATGTTGATGCCAGATGTGGTAGTAGTAGCATTTACAAAGCTGCTGACCTTTTGGGATTTGTATGTGCTAGAGTTTACAGAGAATGAGATGAAAAAAGATCCAGCAAGCAAGAATTCTGTGGATAAAAGTACCTTGTTAACAAAGCAATACAGAAGAAAATCTGTTGAAGCTCAAAAGAGGATCATAGTTTAAAAAAAAAAAAAGTAAAATGTTTGTACTGTGTAAAATATGTACAATTTTGTTTATACGTGAGACAAGATGACTTTTTACATGGAGCAGTTTTTTTTATTAAATAGAATTCTACCTATGCTGTGATGAAAATGACTTTTTGTAATTGGAATTCTATCAACAAATACTTAATCTTGTCACATATGCGGGTGCGTTACCTAAAACTGGATTTTATATGATAAACTTTGATATTTAAGGACAAAATCTTTTTATGTATCTCTTTTCTTCTTGAAAAATCCCATATTTTGCATTGAGCACCACACTGCCCATGTGTGTTTTTCCTCACTTTATATTGTATACTGGAAGCAGCATTTGTGATTAAAGATTTCCACTGGTAAGTGAGCCGCTCTCTTTTTGTATTTTTTGGAGTTCCACTGGGGTGATCTTCCTACTACAGTTTCTGTCTCAAAGCCCACCTACTAAGTTTTCTTACTGTTTCTTCTACAAAATAGATGTTCCCTCCAGAATTTCATACAGAAAGGGTGGGCAGGTAAGTGGGCAAACCTGAGAGGTCAAACACAGAAGTCTTGACATCAGAGTTCGTGAGAGTGACAAAGAAATGTTAGTAAGTTTTATTCTCCAAAATCCAAGTAATTGGGATATTGGTTTTGAATGAACTGACTGCCAGTTCACCCAAAATGTTATGCGTGGGATTCATCTTCTGGATTTGTGTTTTTCCTGGGCACTACATGAATGAAAATTTCTTGTCAAAATATCTAATTTTTTTATCATATACCACAGACCGTTGCTCCTGCTTATGCATAAGAGGATTGTCGCTCCTGTATAACCACTTGCCGACCGCGCATAGCCGAAAGACGGCTTCACCGCGGCCGGCCAGTTCTGAGTGGATGTCATATGACGTCCTCCCAGAACGCGCTCTCCTGCGCGCCCCAGGGGGCGCGCACCCGGCGATCTCCGTGATCGCTGTGTCCTACGGACACAGCTGATCACGAGATGTGGTGAAAGGCCGATCCCACCGGCCTTTTACCACGTGATCAGCGGTGTCCAATGACACGCTGATCACAGGAAAATGCAAGTGCCGGTTCTCGGCTGCACTTTCCTCACGCTGTCAGATCGTGAGGAAAATACTGCCGAGAACCGGCAGTTGTCAGAGCGGGGATCGGCACCGATCATCAGGGCACTGATGATCAGTGCCCTGATGATCGGTGCCCAGCAGTGACCCCCGCATTTCCGCTCAGCAGTGCGCCCACTAGCCCCGCCCACCCATTCCCAGCAGTGCCCCCACCTGTGCCCAGCAGTGCCCCCACCTGTGCCCAGCAGTGCCCCCACCTGTGCCACTCTGCAGTGCCACCTACCTGTGCCCAGAAGTGCCACCTACATGTGCCCAGCAGTGCCACCCACCTGTGCCCACCCACCTGTTGCCCACCAGTGCCACCCACCTGTGCCCACCAGTGCCACCCACATGTGCCCACCCACCAGTGCTGTCCACCAGTGCCACCCACCAGTGCCACCCACCAGTGCTGCCAGTCAGTGCCACCAGTCAGTGCCCAGGGGTTGTGCCAGTCAGTGCCGCCAGTCAGTGCCCAGAAGTGATGCCAGTCAGTGCCGTCTATCAGTACCCATCATCAGTGTCACCTATCAGTGCCGCCTATCAGTGCTGCATATCAATGCCGCCTATCCGTGACCCCTAATTAGTGCTGTCTATCAGTGCCGCCTATCCGTGCCACCTCATTAGTACTGCCTATTAGTGCCCTTTAGTGCTGCCTATCAGTGCCCATCAGTGCCGCCTATCAGTGCCCATCAGTGCCGCCTCATCAACGCAAATCAGTGAAGGAGAAAAAATACCTGTTTGAAAAACTTTATAAAAGAAACAAATAAACTTTTTTTTTTTTTTTCAAATTTTTTTGCACTTTTTTTAATTTATAGCGCAAAAAGTAAAGCGCCCAGTGGCGATTAAATACCACCAAAAGAAAGCTCTATTTGTGAGAAAAAAATGATCAAAATTTCATATGGGTACAATGTTGCATGACCGCGCAATTGTCAATCAAAGTGCGGCAGCGCTGAAAGCTGAAAATTGGCCTGGTAAGGAAGGGGGTATAAGTGCCCGGTAGGCAAGTGGATAATGAATCATAATTGCAAAATCTAACAGGTGAGAGCAACCTCCTTGGATTATTTTCAGCAGGCTGGCAAAAACCAGAAACTCAGCTACAGGAGTCTGGCAATTCAGTTGACCAGGGCATGTAAAAAACTAAAAATGCAGCTTTATGTGGATTCAAAAAAAATCTCATTGTCTTTACTAACCAACCTCAGATGTTTCTTGTGGTATTATTATGTCTATTTATGTGGCAGACTTACCTCCATAATACGGTACACTGATTCAATATTAGCAAAGTACACAAAGAGATATGCAGCCAGTTGTGCAATAAGTAATATAGTAAAGACATCTGTAAGAAAAACATGAAAATTGACTTAAGATCTCTAGAAATGAAACTATCACCATTAGTAGCAGTAAACGCAGTACAAAAACATATAGTTAAAAAAATACAATAAGAATTGCATTCCCAATTTGATTTAAAGTAAATTTGTTCTATTAGGGTCATTATCATCATGGAGATAATGTGTTTTGTCTTTCTCTTTCTGTATTTTTGTTCTGTTTCTGGGTAAAAATCTTTCATTAAGCCATTTTTTGTTGTTGCAAGTCAATTCCCAAGTACAGTTGTGGCCAAAATTATTCAACCCCCACTGAAATTGAGTGTTTTTGGCCAGTTTGACATTGCTTTTGATCATTCAGTCATCTTGCTTACATTTACATTAAAGAGGCACTTGTAGGTCAGACAAATATAACATAACAGTTATAATGAAATAACCACAAATGTCTTTTCTGTGCTCACAGCATTATCAGTTTTATTCAACCCCCAAGTGACATTCAATCTTAGTACTTAGTACAGCATCCTTTTACAGTTATAACAGCTTTTAAACGTGAAGCATAGCTTGACACAAGTGTCTTGCAGCGATCTACGGGTATCTTCGCCCATTCTTCATGGGCAAAGGCCTCCAGTTCAGTCACATTCTTAGGCTTGCGCACTGCAACTGCTTTCTTTAAGTCCCACCAGAGGTTCTCAATCGGATTTAAGTCTGGTGACTGCGATGGCCACTCCAAAATGTTCCAGCCTTTCCTCTGCAACCATGCTCTAGTGGACTTGGAGGTATGCTTGGGATCATTGTCCTGTTGAAAGGTCCAACGTCTCCCAAGCCTCAGGTGTGTGACGGACTGCATCACGTTTCCATCCAATATCTCCTGGTACTGAAGAGAATTCATGGTACCTTGCACACGCTGAAGCTTCCCTGTACCTGCAGAAGCAAAACAGCCCCAAAGCATGATTGACCCTCCACCATGCTTCACAGTAGGCAAGGTGTTCTTTTCATCATAGGCCTTGTTCTTCCTCCTCCAAACATAGCGTTGATCCATGGGCCCAAACAGTTCTAATTTTGTTTCATCAGTCCACAGAACACTATCCCACAACTTTTGTGGTTTGTCCACATGGCTTTTGGCATACTGCAGTCGACTCTTCTTATTCTTTGGAGACAGCAAGGGGGTACGCCTGGGAGTTCTGGCACGGAGGCCTTCATTACGCAGTGTGCGTCTTATTGTCTGGGCTGAAACTTCTGTACCCACATCTGACAAATCTTTTCTCAGTTCCTCAGCAGTCACACGGGGACTTCTCTCCACTCTACGCTTCAGGTAGCGCACAGCAGTCGAAGTCAGCATCTTCTTTCTGCCACGACCAGGTAGCGTTTCAACAGTGCCCTTTGCCTTGAATTTGCGAATGATGCTTCCTAAGGTGTCTCTTGGTATGTTTAACATCTTTGCAATCTTCTTATAGCCATTGCCCTTCCTGTGAAGAGAAATCACCTCTTCTCTGTGTCTTCCTGGACCATTCTCTTGCCTTCACCATGTTTGTAACCACACCAGTAAATGTCTAGAAGGAGCTGAGTATCACAGTCATTTTAAAGCTGCCTAATTGGTGCTTATTATGCTTGATTGCTGCTCGGTGACATCCACAGGTGTTTTCAATACCTGATGGAAAGCACCTGTATGAACCTCTGTTCTTCAGAGTGGTAGTCTTTAAGGGGTTGAATAATTGTGGCAATGAAGAAACCACATAAGAACCATTTACTACTGTATTACATAAACAATTGATGTCATTTTAGTTGCATTTGGGTAGTTACAACGTCCTTGTAGGATTTGATTCTGAATACAATTCCAAATGTACACTATAGTCCCTAAACCCCTTTACAGCATTGGGGGTTGAATAATTTTGGCCACAACTGTACATACACGCTAATCATTAAGTATTTGTTGAGTGCTGTGGAGTATATGATCTCTTTATAAACTATTCATAAAAATACCGATAACATATGTTGCACTAACAATATAACAAATGCCAAAAAATGTGTTGTGCTATCACTTTAAAAGGTCATACAGCCAAATAGCATAGATATCATGCAATGGTAAACATTCAAAATAGTGCAAGTGCGTGCCCAGTGCAAATTTCTTAGTAGGCATTAATCTATATTAAAAAAAACTGTGAAAAATGTTCACTTTCATGGAATTAAAAAAAAAACTGGTGTAAAATACAGCCAGTGCAGCTCTCCTCCACCAACATGAAATAGCATGCCTCTTACCGGAGATTAAGACCCCTTAGTTATAGGAGGTCTGATGCGCTTCCCCAGACGATGGGTGAATAAAAATTGCAAACAATGGTAGGTTCCTCTTCTCTGCTAGTAACCTCTACAATGTCAGATTATGCAATAGCCATATTAGGAGAGAAAAGGACTCCACATAGTGTAATACCGTAAATAACTCGCAGATTTATTGAAATTATGGATACTCATGAGCAAGGCAAATGAACAAGCATATATGAAAACGTTGCGCCGCTCAGCATGTGTGTACATTCATGCCAGATCATATGTTCTTCCCAATGCGTTTCATCAGAATTGACATAATCAGAGGCTGAACTAACTCATTATAAAAGGCATACAGAACCATGGAGAAGCATGCCTTTCTCCTCAGTAGTTCACATAGAACAATTAGGAAGCAAAGCCTCCTAAAGGAGGTGGAGGATCACACAAGGTGTGGAGCAAAGAGCCACAACAGTGAGTGTTGAAAGAAGTTGTATAGCATGGAACGCTATTGTCTGTAGAGTACTGGATATTCTTTAAGCATGAACACTTTATTAAGCACAGACACTTTTTTAAGCATGGACCCTTCAATATTTGTAATCGCAGTCATTATTTTTGCTATGGTTTGAATATATAGCACTGTATGTATAAGTTGAGTTAAGACACTTTTTGTGTTAAAATACAGCAGCTGTAAATTATTTTTAGGATCCGATCATGGGTGTGTTTGAGATAAGCTATATAGAACGTGTGTTTAGGCAGAGACACTGATTGGCTGGATCAAAGGCAGACTGACCATTTGGAAACTCGGGCACTGCCCGAGGGCCCGGGGTCAGTAGGGGGCCCCATGAGATGCCCCTGGTACCTTTTTCATAGGCTTTTTTGAGTTTGTGCAAGGACACAGGGGCCCCATGATCCCCTTTTGCCCAGAGGCCCCATGAGTTGTCAGTCTGCCCCTGGGCTGGATAATCAGTTTTCTCAAAAATTAACTTAGGTTAGTATTTCACAGGATTTTGAGCAGCTATGATGATGAGGGGTTATAAAATAGGTTAGACTTAGTGTTTAGTTATGATTTGCATTTTGATCAGATGGAGTGTTTTTAACACTGGGCAGCTGTGTTGAGAAATGAGGTTTAGTCTGTGGCAGGGCAAGGCTATGCCATTGTGTAAACTGACAGTCTAGGTCAGAATTTGCCGAGAATAGGCACACTGATGGTGCAGGTGTGTGCTGAGGTCATAGTAGAATAGAATCAGATTTCAGTGTTCCACTCTATTGGCAGTCAGTGAGTGTGTCTGCAAGGAAGCAGAGAGGTACATATCTTCCCCAGGACAGAGACAGGCCCAAGCCTAAAGAACGTAGCAGCAGAAACCTTCAGGAAAAGAGACAAGTTGACAGAGGTACAGCATTTGTGCATGAGCACTGGACATTGTGTTAGATGGTCAGGAGGACCAAGTTATGAGCTGCAGCATTGCCAAAGAGAGCCAGGAGGCTAAATACTATTTTGTTCATTTTGATGGTGGAAGCTGTGTGGGCAACTGATATATTTTGTTGAACCTTTGAGTTTTAAATAAAAGTGGAAACAAAAAGCTCTGAAAAGACACTTCTGGCGTGGGATAAACTCTCTGTTATGCACAACCATTGAGTTTAAACAACCCCAAGTTGTCACAAGATACTGTATATAGACATTTTTAAGAACCTATATAAGTTGTTCTCTATTTCATGGTTTGCAGGAGAAAATAAGTCAAGAAAGAATATAGTACTTACAGTTTGTATATATTGGCTTTCTGAAAGGCCTTCCTTTGCAGAACACAAATTCCACAATAATAAGATTGATTCCACTTACAAACCACAATGTAGTTGTATTAAAATTTCGATTAACTAGAAGTTCTTCACTTATTGTGATATTTGGAGCGCTGTGATTTAGTGGAAGACATCCACTGCAGTAGACAAAATAAAGTAAAATTAAAACTGTGCCCAGCTTTACTGTGCCAAAATACAACATAAATACAAAACCTGCTTAGGTTGAATATTAAACATTTCATTCAAAATGGACTTGTTTTAAGCAGAGATGACAAAAATGCTCATAATATTTTTTGTCAAGCCATCAACAGTGCATTAAAATATAAAACACATAAGGTGAATA